TACCATCTGGAAGTTCATGGGTCCTATCTAGTGGCAGCTTTTCCCGTCTGCTTTGACTAAAATAGAACAAATTTATCTTTCGAGAAGATTATTTGCCATAACATTCATAGTTTTGTCATATACATAAATTGAATCGTTTCAATAAACCACCTATTTTAAAGATCAACCGAGGCGCATTTGAGAAACTACACTGTTACTCGATTTTATCAAACCTTTGATTAACATAAAATAGCACCCAAAGTTTTTTATGAAAAGTTCATTAGCTGCTTCCAATGTTTCTTCAATATATTGTTGTAGATTTCAAGCTTCGTATTACGGATAAGATCGTTAGTATTTGGGCTCTTTTCAGGCAATCCAGCTTGAAGTTAATTAGGTAAAAATATCGACTAACAATTAAAGATCAAGTATAATGTCGCAACGACCCATAAAATCTTGCCCATTGTGGTTTGGCTTCTAATTGAATAGAATAAATTACAGTATAACTTCCACAGTGGGTCAAGTTACACCGAGAATGGCAAATAAGATCGATGATGGTTGGTTTTCTCTCGGACAGCAGTCTAATATCAATCGAACTAACAGCTGATAAAAATAGGTTGAGCTAAATTCAGAAACTTCAAGGTAAACATATGGTCTATAATCAATATATCTTTAATTAGAAATAAGAAAGAGAGGTGGTTTTAAAGGACGCGAGAACTCTTAGCATTCCAAATAGGTTTTTCTTGTCGAATATCCTGATGGTACTTCTCTTTGGAGGACTCCACTACTATACAACTTTTGCTCTGAATTGCCATTATTTGAGCCGAGGGTTTCAAGGATTCGAGACTCTTAACATTCTAAATAGTTTCCTTGCCTTACATTTTCTACTTCCTGTTTGCCTATTATTAAATGTAATAACAAAATATCTTGTCATTCTTATCGGGGTTCATCAAACAACCACTTTGAAGCATTCCCTTGGCTGAATGTTTATTTCAATATTAACCGTAAGTATTTGTGACTCTTCTCACTGTCTTTCTCTTCTGACGTCTGTAAATACCGAAAAACGTACCAGATTATGCCATGACTATCACAAATTCTGTTAGATTTGAATGGTATTTTCTATGGTGATGTCTAGATACGTTTAAAAATTTCAAAGTTTTTTGTTTTGTCGAAATGTCGAGGTTATCATCCTTTAAAGTTTCACCCAACCTATAAATAATATATCTGACACTTATTGAAAAAAATAAACGGTTCGTGATATTACACTATAAATGTTGTTATTTTGAGCATGAAGGCGTTCAATAAGAATAGATTAATGTTGTATGATCAGATATATACTGTAGTGATACCAGGTGATATAGATTTAAAGTGATACAGTCGTCAAAATATTCACTAACGTTTATTTTTTAGTTTCAAATTAAGCGAACTATCATGTATTCTTAATCATATCATTATGTTCTTATTGCATATAATTAAGAGTTTTAACCGATCATAAATATCCATGTATATACACTCTGGATAAACAAAAAATGATCGGTCACTCATTGGAATTCTGCTGGTAATTCTCTACTAATTTAGCTAATTATGAATTATGAAAATGACAAACTGGTATTTTTCCAAGTCATTAGAACACCTCTACTTTTCTATAAGTATTAGCATTTTCATTTTCATAAATGAAAATAAGGGAACCCGTCTTTTAAGGTAACGTTTATCATTAACTGAATACACGAAAATGAGCTCTCAGTCTGAAAATCAAATATTTATTCTGTGTGGTAAGTGTGTAGAAACTACTGTTTTGTGCTATGATAAACGCCTATTTGTAGCGAAATATCTCTTCTACGTGATCTGTGTAGATCACCGCGTCTATTAAATGTTTCTTTAAAAAAAAAGGATAACATCCCTTTGTTAATGAAACACGATTAAGGGATATAACATGAAACGTTTGTTTTTGTCTCATTTGAAATAATCGTGATATATATTAAATGGATTTTTGTTGTTTATCTGTTTCTAGATGTATAGTATATGTTTATATCATTAACAATGTATTTACAGTTTTTATTACATGCCATTATTTCAATATTGATTCTATTGTATCCTATCTCAGTGGGTAATAAGGGAAACAATTGGCCGGGGAATTAGGATACTAATCGGTGTCAAGGTCGACTGGCGATTTAAAGCCTCTTAACTGGTCCTTTGCAATCAGCACAATCAAACGCTCAGTGAGGGCTTCTAGTGGGCGGTGGCAAAGGACCCCAAACTCATCTAAAATGGATTCTAAAAAATTGGGCTCACAGACTTTTTGTCGAGGCCTCTGATTAATTGTATTCGCTAGCATACAATCCAATCAAATCGCTTCATTTACTCACTTCAATTATACCAAAAAGGGGATTATTTGGAGTCAAGGTATAAGACTTGACATTGTAAAAATGAAGGTCGATGTGAGCACTTCTTTACACGTCCTGGCCCACCTGTCTTGTGATGAAATTTTCAGTTATTTTAATCATAAAAATACTACATGCCCCGATTTGCTTTCCAATCTTTATTTAAAAGGAATGTAGGTTTATGATAAACTAACAAGTAATGTAAATATTTTATGAAGACGTGTATTGTTTGAGCTTTATTGTTTAATGCCCTCGTTAGGAATGTACTTTTTTTTTACTTTTTTCCTCTTCTTTGTTGTTTTTCTGTTGACACCTGGGTTTGTAATCATTCAGTCATTCAACTGATCAGAGAGTTGATTCAACTCTTAGCAATGTTAACAGGTACAAACTGATAGGTCGATTGCGAAGGATCCAATGATGCGGTTATATTCGCCAGTAGCCGTCAGCGACTATCTACAGGTAAACACCTGATGGTACTTCTCGTTTGAGGAGTCTGCTACTTTGCATTTATTACTCTCATACTCTCATGTCATACTTTTGACGAGATTGTTGGTTAATGGTATTGCTTTGCTTTGATTTTTATTCCTGCAACGATTTTAAAAGTACGCAATGTCTTGTTTACTAGCACATCGAAGAAAAGGTCGTCTGAATGGCCTTGAACTGGTTATTTTTAATGTGAAATTCATAGCTTTTTAATTCCACTGCAATGAATACGATTTGTTGTCGAGTTAATCAGCTTACAACAAATACGTAAATTGTATTCGTGTAACAGACGGTATCAGAATTGCATAGTCTGCTTTTTTATTGAATTCTGCAATATTCTGATGTTCATAACGCCCACTTATTCTACAATGGCTAAGGTAGAGTTCATACCTAAGCCGGGTCTATACTGCCAAAAATTATATAGGCCCAGTGCTTTTCTTTCCAAGAGAGCCAAATTTCAAGACAGTGTTCACGACGTCAAAAATTTCCAAATCTTAGCTTAATGTTTTAATATGCTTAAAAAATGTTAATTCCGAAGCTAAATACCCGTATATACCCATAAACCACTCGGGTTATAGAGCGAGGAACTCAGATCCTATATACAAATGATTTTAATGGAGTGTCACCTGCAAGAAGATCAGAAAGTTTACGTAAACGTTTTAAACGTAAAAAATTAACGCCAGGTTTTTTTTAGTTCAAACTTTCAGATATGTTAAGGGACATATTTCTCTAGATTTTGGTGTATAGTTTTCATAAATTAGAGCAAAAATATATATAATCCCACTTTAAGTTCACGCGAGTACGACTTGGTAACAGTACAGATACTACTAGTCGATACTATCTGCTACTGCATGATGTTCTATTTCTAGTACAGTCATTGATTAAACGATACTAAAAACAACAATATATATACCAATAATAATAACACTACAGTACTGCTGGGTCAGAACTATTTTGTTTACTTGTTTACTTGTTTACCAAAATTAGTTGAAAGAAACTGATACTTTAATCTGAGTGCATTCCAAAGTGCTTTAAAAAGGCTAGTTCCATTTAAGAAAAAGATTTAAAACGTAACGTACTTATAACCGGGAAGCCGCGGTGGCTCGGTGAGTTAGACGCTTGCTCGCTAATCTGAAGGTCCAGGGTTCAATCCCGGCATAGGTCGAGATAATAACTTCGGATATTTCAACCAGGTTTCCCCCTGTCAATGATGCGGGTAAGAGGGGCTGACATGGAAAAAGCTTCTAGTTTGGATGGGACAATAAACCGAGGCCCCGTGTGCTACAGGCTGTGCATGTTAAAGATCCCTCGACAGTTTGAAATCGAAAAAGAGCGGGGTCAATGCCGCTGTCCTGGCAAAATTTCCCTCATTGCACTCTGCATTGCGTTGCCGTCTTCATTAGCCCTCATGGTGCAGAAAAGTAGGCATAATATAACCTGTAAATTAGAGCAAACTGTGACTTCTGCTCGTTTCGTTTCGTAATTGTGTATATTTATTTATTTCACCTATACTCACTAATGGTGTCTTATAGTCAGAAAATAGCCACTGGTCAAATCCGTCTGTTTACATACAATGAAGGTCAGATGTAATTAATGTGAGTCTAGAGTAAAATCAGGTCATGTTTAAATGGATTTGTTTATTTTGGTTCTTGTTTACTTCGTTAGTGTCATAAGTTGTACTAAATGTCCGTGGAGATGTCAGACCTGTAGCCCCTTGTAGCATTTCTATGAAGGGCCAGATTGTTTTCTTGAATCTAAATTTGCTTATAGACCATTTCTCCAAGGATTGTTTTGTCATCTGTTAGGCTATAAGGTGCCTTGGGTTCGAATCCTCCTCTAAAATAAGGAACATTCTGACGTCGCGACCAGTGCTTCTGAGAGACGACCCGCTGTCTACATGCAACCCCTGATACCAACGGTATTAGAATGGTGAGTGTATTTCTATTTTAGACGGTGGGCAATGTTTACATCTTCAAAAGAATGTGACTATGTGCCATTTCGACCTTCAGAATGGAAGTTATGTCACCAAATAATTGGTGTTTTGTTGGAAATTTCCAGAAATAAACCGTTAATTATGTTTCATGGTAAACTGTGAAATTTCACAAGTCGGCAGTCACCACGGTGACACGTTGCGTCTTGTTTTATTTATATAATATGTAAATAAACCAGAGGTATAATAAACAAATTTGGATGACAAGTTAGTAGGCTTCGAAGATTCAAACCGAAGACGAGCTTAAGGGAGCCACATACTGAAGCGACAACCACTCCACCAGTTGCGTATGGTTGTTAATAAAAATAGCGATCTTAAATTTCAAAAGCAATTCTCATGTTACTGAGTTGTGAGTTGTATTCGGAACTCATGGCCACTTTCATTATTCACAATCATATACAACTAGTAATCACTAGGGTGTGAGGGTACCTTTATAGCCAAAGACCAAGATATGTTTTCGTATTGTCAGCACTGTGGTGAATGTCTCTTGCAAGGCGTTATCATCTTTCTTGAACACATAATTCCAACGTTTGTCAATTCAACATCTTTTGTGCAGAATCCACATAGTTACTATTGTTTAATTGCTTAATTGAGGTGATATTGGCATTTTTAAATTGCAACGGAAGATTCGCCTCAGCCGCTCAGCCAGTAAGTTGCCAGTTTGCTTACCCGAGGGTCGGATGGTCGATTTACTTTTAAATTTTACAATCCACTTTAGTTTTGTTGCTGAAAAGTTACTTCCTGACCAACCAAGGTAATATATCGGCTGTTTAACGACGGAATCAACTTTGCAACCTCGTCACTAACCCTGTTCTGTGGATCTCATGTGTAAGGTGTTAAATCTAAGCCACTGAAAGAGCTGATGAAATCATTCATGGTTCAGTTGTACACATTAAGGCTTCTTCAATACCAAAATAATCTTACTTCTTACTATTCTACGCCTAATTGGGTTTATGAATCGTGTGTGGGTGCAGTGGGCATTGATTGGATTTTTGTCAGGACATTAAGGTGCGAATAGACGAGGTATGATGTACGGTGTGGTGTATGGTGTACGGTGTGGTGTATGGTGTACGGTGTGGTGTATGGTGTACGGTGTACGGTGTACGGGGTACGGTGTGGTGTATGGTGTACGGTGTGGTGTATGATGTACGGTGTGGTGTATGGTGTACGGTGTACGGTGTGGTGTACGGTGTGGTGTGGTGTTAGTGTACGGTGTGGGATTATAGATACAGTAGAAACTAGAAGAAACGAATCGTACCAGCACCGTGTCCGGACCCGTACCTCGTGTGTTCACTTCTTCTATTTTCTACTGTATCGATCATTCCACGCCGTACACCGCACCGAACAGTACCTTGTCTCTTTCGGCAATAGACTACCTGAGCCAATTATGAATTTAGGATGACCTTATACATATCCATTAAGAATAAATACACAAGGAAGTCTCTACAGAGTCCACATGGTTAGATATTAACAGAATCGAGTCGATTACACAGAAAAAAATCGAAGACTTATATCTAATTTGCAACGTTTCAACCTTTATACGTTTTGTAATGATGACTGGCCAGTACGGTAGAACGCATGATGGTATAATACCATAATACCATGATTACATATATATCATAAAAATCAACACAATTGGCTAATGTATCGATCTTCTGCTTATTTTTCGTCCTTGAAATTATACACAATATTGGCCGGGTTCCAGGTAGATTACATTGTTGTGAATAAGAGAAATTCTGTTATTGAGTACATTATGAAATATGTGCTACTTTCGATTCCATTACGTTCAAAGACCTTGACAAGGACAAAAGTACAAATAAATACCAGTTGTTTGTGAGGTAACTTTCAGATGAACAATAATAATCAATTCCTATTGATCCGGTTGTCATTCCACAAACAAGTCTTTCGGATATACAATCCTCGTCAGGACATCGAGTTCGAGAGATGGAGAAACTGTCAAATGGTGTAAAAATCTCATAAAGACATTCTGAAGTCATGATCTACGAGGATCTCTTTTTCCAACTGACTCGATTTTTTATTGGCCATTATATTGATTCGATCTCTTTCCCTGCTGCACACGTGTTTTGGATACACAATCCATATCAGGCCAGTAAGTTTTGGAACTGGGGGTTAAAGTTCAGACAATGTACTTAAAGTATATGAGCGTACTACCTAAACGCCATCATCCCAAATATTCAAATTATATTATAGTATTCAAACTAATTGTACAAACAATACTCTCAATAGAGGTTACATGCCTGTGCCTGTGCTTTCGTAACATTACTTAACAGCCAATGTTACAGCCTAACATCCCTGTGCCTCATTTGTTGTAAATGAAATGAATGGAGTTTTACGTCCAATTTTTCTGCACCTAGCGGGTTAACCAAGACGGATCATGTTGGAGTAGGAGGGGTAAAGTGACATTGTTGAAAAATTGTTATTATTGTCATTCTATGTCAACACTCAGGACATTGGTATATATTCTATCATTCATGTTACAGAATATTATTATTATGATAATAAACAGCCTACTCAAAGGTCAATTTAGCAATCAACATTTTTGTGGCTCCAGTCATAAGTCAAAATGTCATATTAGTTATTAATGGTGAACTAGAATTCCATTCATAATATTTGTTTGTGTTGTGGTAACTTCTTCTAGAAATCTTCATCCTGTCTAGTTATAAAGTGCTGATTGGAAGGAATGTGTTTGTTTCTCAATGCACATTCATGATTGTAATTCTTCCAACCTAGGGACTGTTTACCACATAAAGGTATCAGCAAAGTAATGTTAACTCCTCGGGGTATCATCGAACACTACGAGGGTGCACTTGAAATAAAATAAAATGAATGGAGTTTTACGTCCTACTGTTCTGCACCATGGATATTTTTATAGGATAGCGACATAAGCCAGCTCTTTTTGGATTTTTTTCCAACTAACGAGGGATCTTTAACGTGTAGACAGCCTGTAGCACACGGGACCTCGGTTTATTGTCTCATGCAAATGACTAGACGCATTGTACCATGTACAGGGATAAGGAGTAGATGATAAGCACCACATCTTAGTGTTATCTCTTAATCTATATGTCATATAAGCACTATATACCAACAAAGCCTAATATGGAATGATCGTATGATGAACCTATTTCGGTTATTAACGGCAACACGTGGACGTTCACATGTTCGACCCAGACGAAATAAATTCAAGCGACTACGATTAAGCAGATTATCCATTTATTCATCTCTTTGTGCCAGCTGGGATGCCTATTTTAGGGTGATAACATTTAACATTTATTTCATTAATAATATTAGGCCTACAAACTCCATGTATATATCTCGTCGTGGTACCTGTCCCGACCTGTGTTATATCTCGTCGTGGTACCGGTCCCGACCTGTGTTATATCTCGTCGTGGTACCGGTCCCGACCTGTGTTATATCTCGCCGTGGTACCGGTTCCGACCTGTGTTATATCTTGTCGTGGTACCGGTCCCGACCTGTGTTATATCTCGTCGTGGTACCGGTCCCGACCTGTGTTATATCTCGCCGTGGTACCGGTTCCGACCTGTGTTATATCTCGTCGTGGTACCGGTCCCGACCTGTGTTATATCTCGTCGTGGTACCGGTTCCGACCTGTGTTATATCTTGTCGTGGTACCGGTCCCGACCTGTGGTAGATCTCGTCGTGGTACCGGTCCCGACCTGTGTTATATCTCTCGCCGTGGTACCGGTCCCGACCTGTGTTATATCTCGTCGCGGTACCGGTCCCGACCTGTGTTATATCTCGTCGTGGTACCGGTCCCGACCTGTGTTATATCTCGTCGTGGTACCGGTCCCGACCTGTGTATATATCTCGTCGTGGTACCGGTCCCGACTTGTGTTATATCTCGTCGTGGTACAGGTCCCGACCTGTGTTATATCTCGTCGTGGTACCGGTCCCGACCTGTGTTATATCTCGCCGTGGTACCGTATGACCTAGTCCCAGTAATTCATGGCAGCGGAGTAATATAAAGTTAATGACAAACAGCACGAGCATTCTCTTGTTGACACGGACTATTCTTAATGGCGGGAATTGTTTCTGTATAGTTGAGAGTAGCAACAACACAAGTAGCGAACCATATTCACGTTCGATACACATATCACCTGCTATTTCATATCGGGTAGAGGACAAATAATTCAACATTAAAAACTCTCAGCTTTATGGAACAACAATCACTGGTTAAAGTTTAATGCAACGTTTCGACATGTTTCTCCCTCAGTCTTCAGGTACATAATTAAACTAACAAATTCAGTAGTAATATAGATACAGCTTTATGGAACAACAATCACTAGCTCAAGTTCTATGCATCGTTTCGATATGTTCCCCCCCCCCCCCCCCCCATTTGCACTAGGAACTGACTCAACACAATTCAGTCTTAGCCGTGCTCCCCAACGGGAAATGGAAATTGTGAATGGGTAAAAATAGAGGCGCTGGTCCGATCAGTCTGTTTTGTTAGCAAAGATGATAAGACATGTTTCTCCTTCCACATACACCTGCTATCACTCTACTACTGAGCTTATCAACTCGACATCCCTAGAGTCGACGTGAAAAAAACACTAAAACGTAAGCCTATTTTGTTATTTTGGTAATTGGGTTTTTTTTTACGAAGGACACCATTTTATATACATCCACAGAAAATAAATATACAACAGTTCGTAGTTTTTTTAAGTAAGTTAATAAAAGCTTTTAGAAACTTAACATCGTTCAGTAGCAAACAAAAAAATTCAAAATATAAGATTCTACTCAGGGACTATTTGACGACCCACACCGTCCGTAAATTATACCCTCGTACATTACAACTGACGTGTAAGAATTCTAGTAGCCTAGATATTCCTACGCGCCGGGAATGTTGGAAGTTGTGTGGGTCAGCTGATACGAGAGAATGCGTAGGCGTTAGCTTTGTCTGGGGTTGTAACATCCGGGTATTTCTCACATTGATTTTCAGCTCAGCCTCGTTCTCAGCCTGAGTGGAATCGTGCTAACTTACATTGCAGCGAGTTGATTAGGTTCATGTACTGCTAGAACGATACTGTAGTCAATCTGGGTTTTGATAATGTAAATGAAAGAATGCCAGCTAGAATTAAGCTTTAGACAAACTTTGACAAAACATTTGATGCTCGATCCCAAAAACTACATGTTTTTAATTAGATTTATTAAGGAGACTTTAGAATGTTCGTAAGGTTGTAAGAGGCTTACTTACTCTCGTCAATTGTTTGTAAATCGTAACCGCAACTGTCGAGGCTGAATTCAAAATGCGGCAACTCTATCGAGGCGTCTTGTCGCAAGCTCTTCTTCTCAAATGGGTTTTCCAATAAAAGTTTCGAAAAATTGAATTGATTTGATTTGATTCTGACTATATATTTTGTGTCAACATCGGATGAAAATCTTGTAGTTTTAAAGTTGTTAAAATAAAGTGGGGATGTAAACCGTTTTCCTTAGTGGTGAGGGTTCACACTGGCGCCGCTACTAGTAAACAGGTCAAGGTAGTCTGTGTTTATTTTACTATGATATATTTGTGTTATATATTTAAAATAAATATACACACTACTACACTTCTGACACCAAAAACACTGGCCGGGTCATACCACGAATTACTCTTTTTATTTATATTACCTTTCTTTCAAGATTAAACGTATTATCCTTTGATGTTGGTTTGTTTCAACTTAGTGTAGTTAACGATGACCTAACTAACTGCTTTATTTTATATATTTACTGTTACCGAATATGATACACACCGTTTCTTACTTAGGCTACCAAGAAAATAAAAATTACACTATAATGATTACTAGTTGTATATAGTTGTGAATAATGAAAGTTACATGAGTATTGAGCTCTAATCTTACTCGCTACCATATACAACTGGTTATCAGTATAGTCTGAGGGCACCTTCAGAAGGAATATGATATTCTGAGGACTCGTGTACTAAAGGTTGTAAAGATGACTGGAATGCCTCTGTCTTTTCAATTTTTATGCATGATTACTGTTTAATGTAAGGCAGGATGAGGCGGTTGTCAAAATATACAAATATAATAGACCACAGACTGATCTTGATGAGCCAAATTCTTATTAAAGGGAAATAACTAGCTAAATATTGATAACTGTTAATATTTCAGACCACAATCATTTTATTTTTCCTGGACACAATTCAACATACAGTTTTGAAAATTGTAGTATTTTTCAAAAATAGAATAGGTTTTTCCATGTGAAATCGCTTAAGCTATCAATATATTGGCCAATACAAATGTTGTTTTGGATTTTGGATTTTGGATTTTGGATTTTGGATTTTGTTTTGCGGTAAGGATCATTAATACTTGGGATTTTATTCTTTAAAAAAGAAATAAAAAATCATTTTATAAAAAAAAAATAGAATATATTATCAATAAAATGTAATAAAAAAGATAAGTGGAATGATATACTGAAGAAGATTTAACAACAATAGTTTAAAACTGATATACTGTAACCTACATCTTAATCATCGATTGGAGGATAAATTGATTTTCATAAAGTCAAAATCCATTTACATACAATTTAACAGGTCCTTCCAGTGTTTGATTCACAGTGTATTCAACAAGCAAATTAAAATATTAAAATCCAAGAAACGTTCCCAGATCAAAAGCGGAACATCCACTGGCTTATACAATGGTATGATGAACAGAGGAATATCACAGGATTTCGCTTCGATTCCATTCCAAGTCTAAATACTACAAAACACTTAAAACAGATACAAATCCATTCATGCCTCATTGTGTCACAAGCCACTATTTATCCTTGAGGCCAATTATGATTAAAAAAATCGCTTCTAAGACGATATATGGTACTCGAAGAATACGTTAGACGTTTGTGGTTATTGAAGTAAATCTAATAGGAATGGTTGGGCTTTTATTTAAAATGAAATTAATTGAAATATTCAGTGACAAGATTTTCGCTATGTTGGCGACGGAACCTGAAAATACAGAAAAGAGGTTAAAGTTAAACACAAAACCACAATACAAGGGTCAAACAATCCCGTAGCCAGATTTGTTTATTCAGTGGTTTTAAGTTAAAGTTTGGGGGAAGGGAGAATTGTTTACCTGTAGCAACTAGCTAGAGTTTAGGGGCCAATCAGAAGAGCAATCTGGCAAGAGACCAAAAGCAATAGCAATCTGGCAAGAGATCAATAGCAATAGCAATCTGGCAAGAGGACAATAACAATAGTAATCTAGCAAGAGACCAATAGCAATAGCAATCTGACAAGCTGGCAAGAAACCAATAGCAATCTGGCAAGAGACCAAAAGCAATAGCAATCTGGCAAGAGACCAAAAGCAATAGCAATCTGGCAAGAGACCAAAAGCAATAGCAATCTGGCAAGAGATCGATAGCAATAGCAATCTGGCAAGAGACCAATAACAATAGCAATCTGGGAAGAGACCAAAAGCAATAGCAATCTGGCAAGAGACCAAAACCAATAGCAATCTGGCAAGAGACCAAAAGCAATAGCAATTTGGCAAGAGATCAAAAGCAATAGCAATCTGGCAAGAGATCAAAAGCAATAGCAATCTGGCAAGAGACCAAAAGCAATAGCAATCTGGCAAGAGATCAATAGCAATCTGGCAAGAGATCGATAGCAATAGCAATCTGGCAAGAGACCAATAACAATAGCAATCTGGGAAGAGACCAAAAGCAATAGCAATCTGGCAAGAGACCAAAACCAATAGCAATCTGGCAAGAGACCAAAACCAATAGCAATCTGGCAAGAGACCAAAAGCAATAGCAATCTGACAAGAGATCAATAGCAATAGCAATCTGGGAAGAGACCAAAGCAATAGCAATCTGGCAAGAGATCAATAGCAATCTGGGAAGAGACCAAAGCAATAGCAATCTGGCAAGAGTCCAAAACCAATAGCAATCTGGCAAGAGACCAATAGCAATAGCAATCTGGCAAGAGATCAATAGGAATAGCAATCTGGCAAGAGACCAAAAGCAATAGCAATCTGGCAAGAGGCCGATAGCAATAGCAAGCTGGCAAGAGACCAATAGCAATAGAAAGCTGTTAAGAGACCAATAGCAATAGAAAGCTGTTAAGAGACCAATAGCAATAGCAATCTGGCAAGAGACCAATAACAATAGCAATCTGGGAAGAGACCAAAAGCAATAGCAATCTGGCAAGAGACCAAAACCAATAGCAATCTGGCAAGAGACCAAAACCAATAGCAATCTGGCAAGAGACCAAAAGCAATAGCAATCTGACAAGAGATCAATAGCAATAGCAATCTGGGAAGAGACCAAAGCAATAGCAATCTGGCAAGAGATCAATAGCAATCTGGCAAGAGGCCGATAGCAATAGCAAGCTGGCAAGAGACCAATAGCAATAGAAAGCTGTTAAGAGACCAATAGCAATAGAAAGCTGTTAAGAGACCAATAGCAATAGCAATCTGGCAAGAGACCAAAAGCAATAGCAATCTGGCAAGAGATCAATAGCAATAGCAATCTGGCAAGAGGACAATAGCAATAGTAATCTAGCAAGAGACCAATAGCAATAGCAATCTGACAAGCTGGCAAGAGGCCAATAGCAATCTGGCAAGAGATCAAAGGAATAGCAATCTGGCAAGAGACCAAAAGCAATAGCAATCTGGCAAGAGATCAATAGCAATCTGGCAAGAGATCGATAGCAATAGCAATCTGGCAAGAGACCAATAACAATAGCAATCTGGCAAGAGACCAAAAGCAATAGCAATCTGACAAGAGATCAATAGCAATAGCAATCTGGCAAGAGACCAAAGCAATAGCAATCTGGCAAGAGTCCAAAACCAATAGCAATCTGGCAAGAGACCAATAGCAATAGCAATCTGGCAAGAGACCAAAAGCAATAACAATCTGGCAAGAGACCAATAGCAATAGCAGTCTGGCAAGAGACCAAAGCAATAGCAATCTGGCAAGAGACCAAAACCAATAGCAAGCTGGCAAGAGACCAAAAGCAATAGCAATCTGACAAGAGACCAAAAACAATAGCAATCTGGCAACAGACAAATAGCAATAGCAATCTGGCAAGAGGACAATAGCAATAGCAAGCTGGCAAGAGACCAATAGCAATAGCAAGCTGGCAAGATACCAATTGCAATAGCAACCTGGCAAGAGATCAAAAACAAGAGAAACCACTGTATGGGTCTTGGTAGGGTTAAATAGACAGGGAAAAAGACTGAAAAATATATATTAATTTGCCTCCAAATAAAAAAGTTCGTTAAGGGCCTGTAAATTACAGTGCTATATTCTATTCCATTCCATACCATTATTTGGCTAGGAGATAATTACCATCAGATAGGGTTGTTATCACTAAAGGAAAATCTTTGTTCAGTTTTTGAATACTATATAACAGTTGACTGATGTTAACTTTCTGATTTAATTTGATTATCGGTAAGGCAACTGAAACATAGCAAAAATATAATCAAGTTTCTAAAAGAATCTAATGTAAGCCTAAATTTATATCTTGAATATAATACGGAAATGGTTTTCAGAATTACCTTTAAAATATCTCAAACTAAAAATTTAATTCAAAATCAAACAATCTCCTTTCTATTTATTTCTATATATGGCGTAGTCTCAAGAAAAGACGAGTCGTCATTTCTCTCAAACGCGGAAAAATCATATATCGACGATCAGCTGTAAACACTATTACTGATTATGTAAGCTAAAAAAATCATATTTCTGAGACTAAAGTATGATTGGTCAAACAGATGGTGAACCTGTCTCTTTGACAATCCGCTATAAAAATAAAAAGTTCTATTTACTTTGTGAAAATTGATAAGTCAGCAGATTCTGTGGTGTTTCGGCCTTTAAAATTAACTCTTGGATTCCATGGAATTGCAGTCTCTAAAAGTAGAAATAAAGCCCCAACAAACCCAACTTGGTTAAACTAGAGGAATGGGGGCCTCTCTCCCGGGAATATTTTTCAACATATTTTCTCCTCCATTGTCAAATTAATGCTTTTCTATTTAAATTCAAACCTGAACTATGCAGTGAAATAGTTTTATATAAATTCAAACCTGGACTATGTAGTGAAATAGGTTTATATAAATTCAAACCTGAACTATGTAGTGAAATAGGTTTATAAATTCAAACCTGGACTATGTAGTTAAATAGGTTAATATAAATTCAAACCTGAACTATGTAGTGAAATAGGTTTATATAAATTCAAACCTGAACTATGTAGTGAAATAGGTTTATATATATTCAAACCTGAACTATGTAGTGAAATAGGTTTATATAAATTCAAACCTGAACTATGTAGTGAAATAGGTTTATATAAATTCAAACCTGAACTATGTAGTGAAATAGGTTTATATAAATTCAAACCTGAACTATGTAGTGAAATAGGTTTATATATATTCAAACCTGAACTATGTAGTGAAATAGTTTATATAAATTCAAACCTGAACTATGTAGTGAAATAGTTTTATATAAATTCAAACCTGAACTATGTAGTGAAATAGTTTTATATAAATTCAAACCTGAACTATGTAGTGAAATAGTTTTATATAAATTCAAACCTGAACTATGTAGTGAAATAGTTTTATATAAATTCAAACCTGAACTATGTAGTGAAATAGTTTTATATAAATTCAAACCTGAACTATGTAGTGAAATAGTTTTATATCAATTCAAATCTGAACTATGTAGTGAAATAGGTTTATATAAATTCAAACCTGGACTATGTAGTGAAATAGGTTTATATAAATTCAAATCTGAACTATGTAGTGAAATAGTTTTATATAAATTCAAATGTGAACTATGTAGTGAAATAGGTTTATATAAATTCAAACTATGTAGTGAAATAGATTTATATAAATTCAAACCTGAACTATGTAGTGAAATAGGTTTATATAAATTCAAATCTGAACTATGTAGTGAAATAGGTTTATAAATTCAAACCTGAACTATGCAGTGAAATAGTTTTATATAAATTCAAACCTGAACTATGTAGTGAAATAGTTTTATATAAATTCAAACCTGAACTATGTAGTGAAATAGTTTTATATAAATTCAAACCTGAACTATGTAGTGAAATAGTTTTATATAAATTCAAATCTGAACTATGTAGTGAAATAGGTTTATATAAATTCAAATCTGAACTATGTAGTGAAATAGTGTTATATAAATTCAAATCTGAACTATGTAGTGAAATAGGTTTATATAAATTCAAATCTGAACTATGTAGTGAAATAGGTTAATATAAAATCAAACCCTGAACTATGTAGTGAAATAGTTTTATATAAAATCAAACATGGACTATGTAGTGAAATAGGTTTATATAAATTCAAACCTGAACTATGTAGTGAAATAGGTTTATATAAATTCAAACCTGAACTATGTAGTGAAATAGGTTTATATAAATTCAAACCTGAACTATGTAGTGAAATAGTTTTATATAAATTCAAACCTGGACTATGTAGTGAAATAGTTTTATATAAAATCAAACCTGGACTATGTAGTGAAATAGTTTTATATAAATTCAAACCTGGACTATGTAGTGAAATAGTTTTATATAAAATCAAACCTGGACTATGTAGTGAAATAGGTTTATATAAATTCAAACCTGGACTATGTAGTTAAATAGTTTTATATAAAATCAAACCTGGACTATGTAGTGAAATAGTTTTATATAAATTCAAACCTGGACTATGTAGTTAAATAGGTTAATATAAAATCAAACCTGGACTATGTAGTTAAATAGTTCTATATAAATTCAAACCTGGACTATGTAGTGAAATAGGTTTATATATTCTCTATTGGTTGAGTATCCATCTACATCAGAGAGTAGAATTGCAATAACAGACCCACCACGTGTTACCTAGAAATATAACAGAGTTTAGTTTTACTTCCCTTCAGGCCCGTAGCCAGACTTCATTGTTCGTGGGGGCTGGGGCAAGTAATATATCAAGAGGGACAATTTTATGGCTTGTTACACTGACAATATAATTTGCAATTTTTTTCGTGGTGCAATAATTTTTTTCTTTTCTTTTCTTGGTCACCCCTCTCACACTCGTTCCTGAGCTGTCTTTCATAAAGGTAAACTATCAATAAATCTAAGGTCCCTTTAAGTTAATGTGGCAGGTGAAAATGAAAATGAAACGTAACGTCATGCGATGGGAAAATATTTCCAGAACAACGACATAAGCCTATTATTTTTAATTTCCAACTGTCAAGGAATCTTTAACGTGCACAGCCTGTAGCACAGAGTTTATTGGAATATCTGAACGACTAAACAACTGATTCGTACACTGCTATATTGTAGCTAGTGGATTTGAAAATTGATTTCTGCCCATCAAACCATAGAATACTATATCTATCTCTTCACCTATATTACCTGGAATTCTTCAATTGCTGGAATCAAGTTATTAAAAAAGGAATCAATTTCCCCATGTTTCACTTCCGATGGAACTGGACTGAAACTTGAAAAGTTGACCTTGATATAACTATATGTATATTATTGAGGGCTTTGCAACAGCTTTAATTCTTTTTATCATTTAACATAGTGAAAGAAACCATCTTACCTCTGACATTCTCCCACCATCCTATAAAATTGTGTGACTCCGGTTCGTCCCACTCACTTAATGTTTCCTAGAAACGTCACTGATTATTAAAGCAGAAAACATAAAATTTGTGCAAATGTTCACGATGTTAAGATATGAAAAAAAAACATACTCAACAGGTGACGATTTATCAGTGCATTTTGTAAAAAACTTGATTTCCAAAATGGCGAATAGATAAACTTCTTGAACCATTGATAATACTTTCCTAAAATTTAAAGTTATTCTGTGAAACAAACTTACAATAAAGAAACCAATTTTAAATGAAAACCTATCTAGTTTGAAGGATTTATGCAATTTTTGTACATTTCTAGTATTTCCAAAGATCTCTCTCTCTCTCTCTCCTTAAGCCGTTACCTTAAAGACTGTATTTCTTCTTGAGTAAACGTACTATCAATACATCTGAAGCAAACAAAAAATGAAAAAGGATAAGTATCTTTTTGTTCTTTTCTAACATGTATTTACACCATTCTAATTTTCAATCAGACCACCATTTTGTGGTTCCCACCATTCCACAAAAAGAAGGATTTGATGACGTCACTAATCTAAAAAAAATGCTTTAATCTTCGCAATTATTTAATTAATGACGTCATAAAAATACTAAAAACAGTGTATAAAAGGCCCGGAATATTTTGTATTTAAATACTGAATTTGATGAAATTGAATCTATATTAATCAGTTCTAATTGATTCATAATACGTGATAATTATAATTCATAACCAAAAGCAGTGGAGTGTATTCTTATGAATATTGTTGATTTTTGGACCAGCTGGTATAAATTAGTATGAAATGACTATCCAAGACGGTGGTATTAGCCTATTCTTTTTCAATATTCAACTGTAGAGGGATCTCCCTATATAGATATTGTCGCTGGAGTTATGGTGAGTTAATGAAAAAAGAGTAAGCAGGTTATGTGGTCTCAAGAGTCTTACAGAGGCAGAATGCGGCGAATTATATCATATATTACCACCAGATACACTGAATTAAATAAAATAAAATGCTTACAAAGTAACTGTATTGAGACCATGTTTTTCTATCTGAAGCAGACTGTGCCTCCATTCTCCGGGGTTAAAGTTTGAACATTCGAAACTGGCACTCATAATCCGGACAATATCGCCATTTAATATAAATTTACCCTGGGACAGTTTTAGACCGAGACTATAAGGAACATGTTCCTGAACACTCACTTCACTTCGATCCCACGTTTTTGTAAATAGCGTATTGCCTTCGTTATTTTTGACATTAAGGTTTACTTTCAACAACTTTTGACCATTCCAAGATCTCGTACTTTCTCGCATCGTATTATTCACAGGATCAATTTTCGGAAATTCATGAAAACTTGGTTCCGTTTTTTGGAATGATTTTGAGAAGAAGTATTTCAGAAACCAACTGTATTTGTTGTTGTGCACACATTTTACCCTGGTTAATATCAACTCCTTGTACAAAAAATTATCATTTTTAACAGCCAAACTCTCGATTGAAACCTCGGTGTTGATTATTTCTCTTTTTAAGAAAAATATATTGTATGTCGTCAGGTAAACACAAAGAATAGATAGCGTAAATAAAGCGACAAACTTCAGTTTCATTCTAGAATTGGAATGACTAGGATTGGTTACCCTGGGAAGCATGATCGTATGGAAGTCGTCTGAAAAAATAAGGTTACAGAAAAATCATTTTTGAAAAGAGCTTTTCTTTTACTATAGGTCTTAGCTCTTGCTACCATCAAGTAATAATTAATCACGATTCCGTTTACAATGTATCACGCAATTTGATTGGATAACAACAGTCACGTGCATTCGGTTTATATATGTGTAAACATAATGTAAAATTAGGCTCCGCCTCTTAATAGAATACTTTTAACAATGAGTTTGATTGACGTGGTCACTACACGACATGTTCAGGTCATTCCTTTAATATAATTTTTTTATAATAATAACAAAAAACAACAACTGTTAAAAAACATCAATTAGAGTGATATAGAAATACTACTGTTAAAATAGTTCTCAATACATCAATTAGAGCGATATAGAAATACCACTGTTAAAATAGTGCTCAATACATCAATTGTAGAGTGATATAGATATACCACTGTTAAAATAGTTCTCAATACATCAATTGTAGATAGTTATAGAAATACCACTGTTAAAATAGTACTCAATACATCAATTGTAGAGTGATATAGAAATACCACTGTTAAAATAGTGCTCAATACATCAATTATAGAGCAATATAGAAATACCACTGTTAAAATAGTACTCAATACATCAATTATAGAGCAATATAGAAATACCACTGTTAAAATAGTTCTCAATACATCAATTGTAGATAGTTATAGAAATACCACTGTTAAAATAGTACTCAATACATCAATTATAGAGCAATATAGAAATACCACTGTTAAAATAGTTCTCAATACATCAATTGTAGATAGTTATAGAAATACCACTGT